GTCCAAGTTCGTAGCCGACAGGTCCTCGCCTAAAAATGACGCTATACTTGTTCTTCTCGGCTGTTTTCCTGGAGCTTTTGTGCTGAGGGGCGGCCATGTTGCTTTCTTAAACCCCTGAGGCAGGTCTGTTCCATAAACTCAGTTACTCTTTTCTCACTGTCCAACTCTCCGCCAACCCTGAGCCCTAAGCTTTGTGAGAAATTCTCGCATGACTTGCGGCATAAGATCCCAAGCCTTGGCCGTAGAGGCATCGGCTGCCTGGCGCAGGGATCACTAAGCGAAGCCTTCGCCCGACCGCTGTAGGCATTAAGTGCTCTGAAGGCTTGTGGCATAAGATCGTCCGGCAATGTTGAGCATCTGTCGCTAGAGTTTGGGGGTGGTTTCACCTGAGAACAACTGTGCTTGAAAAGGCAAGTCTTGGTGCAATGCGAGAGAGACGGCGTCCCATGACCTGAACTCCTTAGCTAAAGTGTCCTGGAGTCCTAAAGGTCTGGTGGAAACACCCGGGGACAAGCCTCTGTTCCAAAAAGCAACCATGAACCCACGCGATACCCGAAAGCCAGCCCATCGAAACTTCGTGCAAGCTTGGCTGCGGCCTCCTCAATGCCGGGCGTGCTAGCTGTCGCCTGGGCAGCCACGCGTGCCGAGACCCTGAGACTTTGCTTTTGTCAAAAGAACCGAATACAACGGCGTCAAGCTCTCCGGAAACCCTTTCGAAGCGTAGGGCAGCCAAAGGCTGTCGAAGGTGGTGAAACCCAACCTGCATCCTCATTTGATCTCGCACCGAAGGCGGCGAGTTTCGGTCCTTGTCGAGCCCCAAACTCCCAAAGCCCCTGACAGGCCCTGACGATCCTTTCACCAAAGCAAACACGAAGCGCCCGTCTAAGGCGCCCCATAACCTCCAAAGTTCCCTTCATAAAGCCACACAATATATGGCGGCACTCCCATCAAGCACGTGTTTCCTGAGCTGCCGGGCAGTGTTCTTGCTCTTGAGCTGTTGCTCCAGCTCCTTTTTGAAATACCGAGTTGGAGCTGAGGACCCTGGGGAGATTTCACTAAAAATCATGTTTAGGGCTTTGGATGCTTGGGATTTAGACGGTTCAGGGCTTTTTTAGGTCTAGGGTCTGGCATGAGACCTTCTTCATCTTTATGGACAGTCCAGAAGCATGCCCTTCTTTTTTCCGAAAGGACAAAAGCCGATTTAGGGGGCCGGGTTAAAGCCTCACGAGGCCCCGAATCCCGTTTTCTCTCAAGGCCTCCGGCCATTTTCTACCGGCCCTCAACCTGAGACAAATGCTAGGTAGCGCAAAAGCCCCCCCCCCCCTTCCCCCCCTCTTAGGGTAGTTAAGATGGGATCTTGAAAGGGGCCCCTTATATACCCCTTATATACCCTATACAAGACATATAAAGGACCATACTAAGGGCCCGTGAAACTGCCCTTAGGCCCACCAGCCAAACGAGCCCTGGCACCTGGATCTTTGCCTCGGCTTTCCGGAGGGCCACGGCCTCCCCCAAAGTTCGCTCGTAATGAGGGGAGGCTCACAGGGGTTTCAATACGTTTCAATCTCCTGGGCCAAGCTTGCTTCACCAAAAAACTGACACAAAAAGACCCGCGCCCATCGTAAGGCGATCAGTTCTGTGTACATCTTGCGTTGATGATGTGGAGCCCGTCCAAGCACAGTTCAAGTCTCAGGGCTGGTCAAGAAGGGCCAAAACACCACACCTAATTCAAAAGTGAATAATATTTGACAATAGTATGTTCTTGGTAAGATATGCTTATGTTTTGTAATACGATGCTTCAAAACATAGATTATTACTATTATTATGGTTATCATTAACAATGTATCACCAATGATATGTTATTAATCAAAAGAATATACTACTCATGATGTACCACTAAGAATATATTACGTAATTAATAGTGTATTCTTGACAAAATGTTATTGATAATATGTCATGAATAACAAAATACTATGAATAGCCTTCACATGTCATTTGCGATCAACCCCCCAACTCATGAAACCTGGGCACGTAAAGGCCCCCTTTGGCCCGCTTTGCACCCTCAGATGCCCTCCCTCGACCCAACCACTCATACAAAACATAAACAACGAGACCCCGAAAGCACGTCCTGCCTTTTGTGTCGGGGTGCGGGCATCCTGCAACGAAGACGTGCTTTTGAAACTCAGCCCTGAACCCTACGCCCTACTCCCGACTTCAAGATCCCACGTGATTGGTTGGAGACTCCTATCTGCCCCACAGTTCGCTGGTGAACCAAGTTGTCCTTTTTTCATTGTCCGTCTCTCTGCCTCTTTCCCCTTCTCCTCCTTCTCTCCTTCTTCGTCTCTGAAAAACTGCGCACAACAACTCAAGCCCACAAGCTCAAACCGTCAAAGTCCTCAGAACCTCACGCGTAGAAGTCTCACAAGCATTCCAAGGGATGTTTGGCTCTGGATCTTTCGCTTCAAGCCAGTGAGCATGTGCCTGGGAAAGCCGAAGGGACCGACGAAAAGCCTTGACTCCCCAAAAAAGCACAACGCCCCAAAGCACATGACAGCAGTTACCAGGGGCATTGCTTCAAAAGGGCATTGCAGGGAACCTCGCGGGCGGGGGCCAACAGCTCTTGCCGGGCTCCTTTCAAAATCTCCTGGGTCGAAACCCCATAATTGGCCCCGCGTTTCGGTGCCCGAGGATGGTGCCGAAGACCAAAGCAAGTAAAGGCGCGCGCGCCTCTGCTCCTTTCCCCCGTTTTGCCTGGGCGAAAAGGGCAGAGGGAGTTTTGGCGCGTGCTTGGAATCACGTTCAGCAGTCGAGAGCTGTGGGTGTTCTGTTGTTGTTTCTTCCTCCCCCAAAGCTGAACATCCTAAAGCCCTATTGAAAGCCCTGAAGCCTCGCAACCGCCAGAAAAGAACACCTACAGCCACCAAATTCTGAGGAGGACACTTTGACTGTCTGGCCGGATCGCCTCGCTAAAAGCTTAAAAAGCATGGATCAATGGCATGGAGGTTAATGGGCCTCGAAGTCGGATTGACGGCTTAGGGTTTAGGGTTGAGGGTTTAAGGCTGGACAACAAGGCGTAGGGCTTGGGCTTAGGGTTCAGTCTTTTGAGAGGAGGTACGGATTCATGTTCTGGAGGCCTAGACGTTCAGTGTTCAAAGCTCTGGGAGCTGAGGAACTCAGAGCCGTTCTCGCGGCGCACCAGAGGGAGCCCCCTGAGCCTCTGCCAAGCGACCCCCAAGACATACGCCAAACTCCGATCACAAGCCGCTCGCGTTTGAATATGCTGAGGAGCCGGCGGTCTTGAAGACACTCCGCTCTCCTCGTTCAAAAACGAATTCTTTTTGCGCTTCAATTCGGGGCATTAGGATTGCTGAGGTTTGGGTCAATTCAGGGCGTGTGGGCTTTCTTGGCAGGTTGTGGTACAAGGCTTTGTTTTAATGGGCACCCAGCGGTGCGCAAAGTGGTCGAAACTGCAAGCCTGCAAGCCCCACGGCAGACATGCTGGGGGCATCTTCGAAACAGCCCTGGACCATATGGACCCCAACAGCGGGTCCTTCTTCTTCGGAAGGTCCTGCCAGGGAAGGGGTTTGTGGCATAGGGGCTATGAGATGCTTCGAGGTCCGGGTATTTAGGGTGCGAATAGGGTACAGGGCATAGCATCGCAGCTTCAGGCTGGGGTGTGTTCTGCCTCTTTGGGCTTCGTGCCCTGAATCACGCAATTAGTCTTCTTTTTTGCTGTTGAGGCCAATGACTTTTTGGGGTTGAGGGCTGCTAGGGGTATCGCAAGTTTGTAGTTTCGGCTTAGCGGCTAGCCTGAGGAAAAACAAACTCCAACATAGAAAAGGCAGGGGTTCGGGCCAAGAGTTGGTGGGCATGAGCGCGCCTCGCTTGGCGGGCTGGGCGGCTGTGAAGCCTGGACACATGAACTGTGCACAGCAGTTCAGTGCTACCATGTAAGTTGGTATGACATTCCATCTTAACCTCAAGAGCTCGCAGACCCTGTAGGTCGCGGAAGAGGCCCTGAAAACACTGAGGGCCCTGTAGCCAGAAAAAAGCTGTGAGCGTCTGCGATCTCTGCACCCTGAAACTTCTTCAGAACGCTCTCCACACTCACTTTGGGAGCACACCGTTGGTGTGTTCGCCAGTATCCCCCAAGCCTTAGAAGCCTCTCGGGATGCGGCCTGTGGCGACTCGCCTTTCTCCATTTTGTCAGCCTGCTTTGGGTGTTGAGGTGTTTAGGGTCCTGGGAAGGGGCCATTGCTTGGCTTGCTTGGGCTATGCGGACATGGCGGACCAGCCGTCACAAGTCCCAGAGAACAAGACGGCGCAAAACACCGGCCTCGTCATCAGGCTTGTTGTCTTGCTGCATGTGCAAAGAACGGGAACAAAGGATGGTTCAAACGGTTGGCTTGAGGGTTTTATCATGTGCTATCCGAGTCGCCTTGCGAGATACGATGCTGATTTGCAACAAGCTGGAACAAAATGCTCCAAGAAAATGGCTGCATGGAAGAACAAGATTGTCTACATGACTGCGTGGCGGGCGGCCCAGGTCAACTCCTCAACGTAAGAGGGTTCGGAGCTCAGGGACGGTACTTCACCCCTGGAACCCTTGCTGACCACATCCCAGAAGCGGCGGCACTGCGGCAGCAGTGTGCTTATCACTACCCCCACCAATTCAGGATCCACCGCGCAGGATACAGGGCAATTTGGCAAGCAGATCCTTCCCATTTGACAATCGCAGCAAGCACTTTCTGAGGACACCTCTCTGCGAATGTAGACACCTCGAAAGAGTTGGTCACATTCTGCTGCCGAGTGCTGAGGTGTGAGACTACATGGCTTCGCGTTTATGATGATTCTTATTCGTGCTATATTTACAATTGTCTTACTATGAGTATTAGTATTATTCGTATCATTTACGCTAACCACACTCCAGCGTGGGCCACGAGCGGCAGGTCGGTCTTCAGTTCTCGCGCCCAAGCTGGCGCTCATGCCTCCCAACTTTCTCAGGACTTGGGACCCTTCGGCTTGGGATCCACTTTCTGCGGGTAGGGCGCTCCTGCAGCACCTGCACCTCCAGTTTGCCACATGAGGTCCGCGATGACCGGGTAGTGATCGGAGGGATCCTTGAGCGAGGGCAGGACTTCCTCCAGCGCCCTCTCTTCATTCGGAAACTGCCTGGGCTGGTACACCTCGGCTGAAACCGAGCAGAAGGACTTCAAAGCTAGCTAGCGTTATGAGAGGCAAGGCGCATGCTCGTGAAAGCTGAGATTGCCCGGCGTGTAGAAGATGTGGTCAATTGCGGAATAGGCGTGATTCCCAATCTTCTTTGCTTGAGCAGACTGCGGTCCTCGCACTTTGTTGGTGGTCACCGGCTTCTCCAGGGACTCTTTGGGCCCTTTGGGCCCTTTCCCTGGGTCAATGTAAACTCCGTTTGCGTCGTAGAAGCCATCCCACACAGATGCCCCCGTGGCGCGGTGGAGCTCTTGCCAGCACGAAGCTTTACTTGTCGCCGGCCTAGAAGCGGGATCGGAATTCGCATCCATGCAAACAACCAGGTTCTCGCCGGAAGCGCGGACTGCTTCAATGGCCTGAATCAAGCCACCTGCCGCATGCCAAAAAGGGAAATCACGTGGACAACCAAGCCCCGAGCCCTAAAATCACGCACAGAAAACCTCCTCCACGCCATCAAGCATATGCTTGGAGCAAACAGAAGCCCCCGCGTCCTACAGAACTTCCCAGCGTGCCCCAACTTCGGACAAAAAAGCCTTCGAACCCTAACACCTGTCGCCTGTCACGTCTAGAAAAGGGGGGGCTTCCTTAGAAAGTTCTCAAGGTGGTTCCCCAACCCCAGCCAGGAAGCTTAACCCTGCAAGCCTTCGCAGGCAAGTTCGCAAGTCAGGCGCTCTTCTTCATCCTTCGGGGAGTCGCCGGAGCCTGGACGTTGTCACTCTGGCTGTCCCGGCGACACACACACACACCCACACACACACCCACACACACACCCACACACACACACACACACACACACACACACACACACACACACCGGAAGGCTTCGTAGGTTTTGGGGTTTCCGGGTTTCCCTCATTCCACCCTCATTCCACCCGAACTCTGACCCGCGTCCCAAGGCGTCCCAACACAAAAACAGCAGAGCAGGCAGCCCCCCAAACATTCTCCGAATCTTGCCAGCTGCCAGGCTGCTGAGATGAGTGCCCATGACCACCAGGGACGATCCCGGACTTCGACGATCTTGCAGCCTCTCTCTCCCAAACCAGAAGGAAGCAACCGGAACATGTTGTGGGTTTCTTGTGGGGCTTGTGTGACCTCAGGAGCTTGCCTCGGCCTCCAAAGATTTTCTGGGATTCCACAGCTCTGCCTTGCATAAGCCAACTTTAGCCAAGCTGCTTCACCTGGATGAAGCCCTTGCCTCCGCCTCTGAATTGGGAGGGGGCCGACGAGGGGGAAGGGCTTGTAGGGCTTAAGGGTTTAGAAGGTTTACAGGGCTGAAATTAGCGCCTAAAAATGCTTTCGCAGGCAAGGGAATAAGTTTTGGGTATGTCCTCGCTTTGGTGGTTCGTACATCATACTTGTGGGCTGTAAGTCTGCCTCGAGTCTAAAGCTTTTTGCACTATGAGGATCTGGCGTCTCGGTCTTGAGGTTGGAGTGCGGGTCAGCCTTCTCTCACAGCAAGTAAGAAGGAACCACTGCCAAAGCCTATGAAAACCTTCACGCGCCAAACTTTGAACCCTAAACGTGGGATGTTCCCCCTTATGCTAAGAGTCCTCAATAGGGATTCTAGCCCCATTATAATCCCTCTTAAGGACTGTTAGTGTAAGGGAACAGCCCTGAAAACTCCCCCATCGCGCGCCTGGGTAGGTGTGCGTCCGCAGCTCCGTGGCGACCAAACGCCGGTCTTTCCAGAAGATGGCCACGCCCATGTCGTCCAAGCGCTCGGGCTCCTGTCTTTCAAGGAGACCCTGAGAAGACATGGGAGAAACTCTAAGGGGGCAGTTTCGTAAAGAAAGCCATTCTTTTCTCAGCGCTGCGTTGTCCTTGTAGCCTGCCTGTTCCAGCAACACCCGCGACGCGCCAGGTGGCAACTGCTGGTACCACTTTCCTGCATGTCTGAGTCATTGTCTCTGAAAGGCTGACTTAACAGATGATGCAGGAACAAAAAACATGTCTTACACCATCAAGCTCCAAATCCCAGCTACAAAAGCAGAGAAGTAGGCCCCTGCCCTTATGTACTCCAAGCAGCTAGACAGCAGATCCTTCTTGGGATCCTTGATCTTCTGTGCTAAGGAAGGATCTTTGGTCTTTGCGGCAGCTTCCAGAATCCTCTTTCCCAGCCCGGTGTTCTGCATGTAGACGTGCATCGAAATGGATGCAAGGTGGGGTAAGAAGGCGAAGCCTGCTCTTTCAAGAGGGCTCTCCTACTTGGTATAGCCATAAACAAGCAATTGCCCCCCCTCGTAAGGATGACAGAAGAAAGTGTACCGGATCACATAAAATATAATCATAAGGAGCGTATACCTCGGAAAAAACCAGGGCCCATAAATGACCCAGGAGCAGCGCCTCGAGCATCCCACTCCTGCTGGAAGTGGCGTGCTTTCTCCGGCGTGGTGTCGCTGAAGCTATCAAGGTGGGCCGGCCGATACTTTGAAGTGCTGCCTGGCAGCTGCGAGACGTAACCTCGGGGTCGGATCACAAGGTGGTATGTTCAACAAGATGCCTCCAAGATGTGCGTCAAGACGTACTTACATGACAAGAAACAGGAGCTCAGACAAGATTACACCACCCTACACAAAAGAACACAGAAACTGCCGAGCGCCCCAACATGCTCACTGTAACCCGGGTTTCAGAGGGTTTCAGGGCTCTGAGTCCTAGCGGCCGAGCTCCCTCAGGGAGTCCAAGAAGTCATCGTAGTGGTCCACTTCCTTGGAATTCCAGACTTGAGCTCTCCAAACTCAGAGGCCATGGCCACAACACAACACAGGAGCCTCGAGCCCTGGTTCTGGAGGATCCAAAAACATTTCCAAAACACCAACACACGGGCACACAAACCCTCACAAGTAGAGCCTGCCTTGGCCCAGGTTCCTGAAACCCCTGCAGTCCCTGCAGTGAAGGCGCGGTGAAGACCAGGATGTCAGGGCAGAAGCACTCCAGAAAGCACATCATCTGAGACAGCCGTGCCTCTTTGGGCTAAGGGCCCTCTGAGGTGGGAGTTAGAGCTTGAGGCTTAAGGGCAGTCTTGGGGCACTCTTAGGGCACTCTTCGGGCACTTTGGGACACTTTGCGGCTTGAGTGTTGAGAGCGCCTTGCTAGGGGAGGTGAGTGCCAGAGCTTCGGGGCAACTCAAAGTAAACCAGTGCAAGCCGACACCCGAGTCCCTGAGCCCCCAACTCGCCTTCCAGTCCACGGTCGCGTGTGTATTGTCCTGTGGAGGGGGGTTTCATGCTTCACAGAACAAATCCTGCAATCAAAGCCCCCCTAAGCCATACATGAAAAAAACACATCCACCAATAATTAGCGTGGATCTTAGGGAGCCTGGCCTTCGACTTTGGAAGGTTGTACTTCGTCTGGCACTGCTGCAGTGCATCCACGTTGCCCTTGGCAGCAAGCCTCTGAGCAACGGCTCGGGAAGCTCTTAAGGCTTGGAGTGAGTTTAATATTGAAAAGCAGGTGTTCTGCTTTCGTACGGTCTTTGGACAAAACAAGAAGATGAACAGGTGAAGTTATCTCCCAAGAATGACTTCTGAGGCACATGTCTGCAAGTAGCTGGTGGAAGGGCACCGGGTCTCCGTCTTTGGTCGGGACTAAGTCCCTGCCAGCCGGCCAGTCTGCCAGGATGGGCCTGGCAGCTTCTGAGCAAGATCTCAAGAGTCCAACTTTTTGGGGAACCAAGCCGGAGGTTACCCCAAACCCCTAAAACCCAGCCTAGTACCATAAGCCCTAAAGTCCCCAAGCCTCACAAGGAAGCCGTCATCGGACATCGCATCTGCGAGGACGTTGTACACAGCTATTCGCAGGCTGCCCGGAGGAGCGCGCTTTTGCGGCTCCCACATGGACTTGAGCACCTCCTCCTTGGGGCGAAAACAGTTCCCAAACCCTAGGAGCCCTGAATCCTAAAACCATCTCAAACCCTGCGCACAAGAGGAGGACTTGCAGGGTGCAAGGGAACGTCGTTGTACTTCCAACTTGCTCCTTGGCGACCTTCAGCTTCTCGAGCCGGTCTCGCCGCCGCTGCTCAAAGGAGGCCATGGTGCGACGTGCCAACGCAAGTCTCAACGTTCTGCTTTCGTCTGTGCAGCTTTAGAGGTGCCTCTTGTTTTTGCGAAGAACAGACAAATTCGACCAGCCTGTTGATGCAAGCGAAAACCCTGGGAGCCATGGTGCCGCGCGCTCGCGTTTAAGAAACTGGCCCCCAAATGAAAGCTTCGGTGCTTGAAGTTATCTGCTTGGAAGGATTTGTGTTTCAGGCTGAGGCATTCGCGGATGTCTTGCAATCCCTCGCGTCCAGCCAAAACCTCCATGCTATCGACACCGATTGGCCGGCGTTAGCAGTATATCGCATACCATTGCCCAAACGATTATGAGCTCGCATTGACTGGGCCGCAAAGTTCACCTTCCATAGATGCGACAGGAACAAAACTGTCATGCTCTGCCAAGCCAAAAGCATGAGAGCCATAGCTGCTATGATTCTGGAAGAGAATATATAGGAAGTAGCAAATAACAACAACAAAGAAACAGACTTGAAAGGTAAATACTTCAATTTCAATCCATAGTAGATTCCATGACAGTGGGTGCGTATGCTGTTGTCTGTATGCTGAACTGCCAAGAGAGACATTTGCCCCATTTGCACAATATGATTCAGTTTTTCTGTCTGTCTGCATATGCAGACTCTTGTGTCACCTTCTGTTTGGGCAACTACGTTCTGGTCAAATCGCCGATCGGATGACTCATCTCGCTGAATGTGCAAGATGCCGTCAGTGGAGATATTAGAAGGGTCAGCACTCTTCTCGCAGCGAATGACAGCTTGCACTTGCTGCTGCCTGCTTCCTACCACAGTCACTGTCACACGTTCACTGTGTGAACATCCTAGGCCCTAAACTTAGCTCCAGCCTTACCTGACAAGTTTTGGCCTCGATTGTAAGAAGTACCATTTGATTTTAGGGATGGTTGTTTTGGCATCATATAGTAGGGGTATGTAGAGATCTGTAGGGTCTCGGGCTAGAAATTAAGCTTCTCGTTTGAGGAGTCCTCATGTGATGGCTTAGAATATCTGGAGATCTGGGTTCTACGAATTGCCTGACCAATTTTCTTTCAAGATTCTCCCAATGAGCTGTGCGCATTCTGTTCTATCGCTTCCACCACCCTGTGATGCAAGCGTTACTATTCATGTTGTAACCCTGAGACCTAAACCCCTGAACCCTAAACCCGAAAGTTAGTAAGGGGGTTGAAGGTGCGGGGGTTCCAAGTCCTGCACCGATTGACGGCCAATGCCTGCCTGCCTGCATCGGCGTTTCGGACAAGATCTCATGGTTGACTTTGTTTCGCTCGGCTGCAGACAGACTGAAGACAACCCGCCCAATAAGCTGGCCGCGCGCCGGAGTAGCGGAGCACGGTCGGGAATCATGTATGCAAAAATGGAATCCATCTCGCAGACTCTTGCTGCTGCTTCTTGACAGGCAAAGCTGACAGGCACTAGAAAGGTGGATAAAGCAGCCAACAGCAATCCACGCTCTCAGGGACTACCGGGATGGCCCATCCTGGCCAACAGTCTTCTGTGGGGTATGTAAACCCAAGAGCTTGGAGAGGGGTAGGTTTTGCATCAGCCCTTGCGTCAAGCTCCCATAAATTTCTGCTTCACCTATCCTGCCCTTCCAACCCCCGGACCAGCTGAATCCAGCCGGCTTCTTTTTCATCCTGCGCACGCAGCAAACGCTTCCACTTCCACTGAGCTCATGCCAGGGTTTCAAGACACAGAGCTAAAACCTTAATGTCTAGGGGATGAGCCTCCGAGATTCGACAAGTATGCGTCCACACCACCCTCTGCGTACAAAGACCACCCGGTGCCCCACAGGTCTGACTTCGATCCCAAAACCCTTGGCAGCAGCCCAGTGGGGGGGGGGATCTCCACTGGCAGCTTCGCCAGAAGTGGGCCCTGGATGTTCTGGAGCTCTGCTCGGCGGGTACGGTGTCTGGGTTTCGGGTTTCCAGGGTTCAGGTGGTGGACCTGGGCGCAGCACTCTGCACAGGCATGATGCCCAAATCCAAATCCTCAAAATGTTTAAGCCCTGTCTGCATTGTCATTGAACTGCAGTTCTGCAGAACATGATCGGACTGGTTGAGCTGGATGATGTTGGCACAAGAGCATACAAGAACTTTGATTGGAAAACAACACACAAATACGCGCAGTTCTCAAGCTGTTGCACTTTCAGGGAGGCAAGTGACTTTGTTGTGCCTTTCGTACCGGGCTGGAGCAAAGGAACCAGGAGCACAAGCCTTAGACCACCGTCGCAGAGCTGAGGACCCTGGATCAGCCGCTTAACAGGCTTGCTCCTCTGGAGACTGCGCCAATTCAAGCCCTGTCTGCACAGGTGTTTTCAGCAAGAAGCTGAGCTTCATGCACCCATTCACGTCGTGCCAAGCTTTCTGTTAAGTGTCACGCAGCCCCGGCACCCGGGAATCCGAAACTCCACTACAGGTCGGGAGAGAAAAAAAACCTACCACCAAAGCTTGTCACAAGCCCACATGTTATGCTTAGTAGGGCCAAGACCCAAAGCGAAGCTGGAAAATGATGGACGATGATCTCAGGTCTGTGCTGATCAGCCCGTCAGATTAGGATCAACAGAGGTTCCGGGTTCGGGGTTTTAGGATTTCTGTGATTTCAGGTTTAGGGGTTTAGGGTTTAAGGGTCTAGGCTGGCATGCAAACTCAAACCCTCGACATCATCCTAACATCCAGAAGGCAGCAGCTCGCCTACTTTGCTGCCGAAGCTTGCAAGCCCAGTTCTTGCTGGCACTCGTGATTCAGAGCAGCTTGTTCGCCGCATTACCGCACCAGTGCGCATCAGCCAGCGTGAAGCTTGGGACACAATGATCGCGAGATTAGCGTGCTTTGCGCCATCGCCGAAAAATGGTCAGGCTGCACGAGGCCTACTAACCTGCACTCGAAACCTTGAAGGCCATAAACCCGAAGTGCTGGCTGCAAGCTGCAAAGTGCGCCCTGAGCGGTTGCCCAGCCCCATGCCGAGCGATCTGATGCACGAGGCTCTTCACCATCTCACACAGGTCAGGGAGGGAGAGGGAGGTTCAAGTTTTTAATGTTAGGGAAGAGGTCGGACTCTTTATCCAATGCTCGCAGGGCAGATGCATTATTCTAGACCGTACAGGCGAACTTGCTCAAAGAAATGCCCATCCACATCGCAACACATGCCAAGTCAGTAAAGATTGCAAGCCATGTCAACATGCACCGACGTATCCCTGATCCCCAAGACAGGTGACCCCATGCCTGTTTCGTCAGATCATAAGAAGGGGAGGCCTGCCCCGGATGACTCAGGCAGATAGGGTGCCATGGTCTCAGAATGGTCTCAGAGCCAGGAGCCTATGAGTGTTAAACTTCAAAAATCTCAAGCGCGTCTCTTGGTCCCTATGGGGACCAGGCTGGGCCATAAGTTGAAAATGCGAATATGTATCAGATGGCTGCATCACACCGTCGTGGAAAGCCGCGGGCCAAGATGCAAGGAACCTCCCAAGAACACTGAGGACTGGAGTCATGGTCGATCACTTGGGACCTTGTCTCCGTACAGGACCTTATCCTCCTAAATCCCAGATGCAAAGCTTGATGGTCCTAGGACAAGTCGAGCTGCGTTGGGCCTGGACGTCTGCAAATAACCGCCGAGCCCTACGCCCCAACTGCCTAGGTGGTGAACCATGCGCACTCGAACGCCATGAGCTTATATATGCGAGAGTCACTCCTGGATTTATCTGGCCCCTGTGCAGATCAATTTCGCATAGAAGAGGGGTCGTCAGGGCCCAGAGAAGCCTGCAGAGAGGGACTATCGTCGAGTACGCGGGAGAAGCCTGCAGAGAGTCCGGCGAGTGTCCCGGGAGTGCCCATTCAAAGAGAAGCCCGCAGAGCACGTCATATTGCCGGGAATCGGAGCTTGCGTGCTGACTTCAAGGGTCAGCTACTTCCTGGATGAGTCCAGAACTTGAACACTCTTGAGAAAGAATCACACAGAACATGCTGCGAGCTGTGATGTGATAGGAAGCCTCTCGAATGCCACCCCCAAAAGCTGAACTATGAAGACTGGCAGACTGGTTGGCAACAGGCTACGCTGCTTGGCTGGTGCTCCTCATCGTGGAAGAATTGAGGGGTCTTAGGGGGTTAGGCACCTGGTTTAGGGCTGTTGTGGTCCACACCGGCAGTGGTGCGACCGACATGGCCTGCCCCAACTGCCCAGAAACCCCAAAACAACCCACCTAAACCCCCCACCAAACCCCCTGACTCAACAAAAAAAAACACTTTCGGGCTCCGCACCTCAAAAGGCCTCGGTTGGCACCGGGGCTTCGCGCGACGGCGAGGCGCGTGCGCCAGTCTCCCGTTTGCTTTCAGCTCGGCTTCCTCTGGGAGCTTTTGGGGAGCCTTCTTTGGGGTGGGTTGAGGGGGGGCTTACAAGGGTTTAGGGGGGTTTGGGGCTTGCAGATGTTTGGGGGTTTTTGAGTCTAGGGGTCTAGGGTTTAGAGCTTGATCCTGACAAGCTGGACACTTGCGATCCCCTGGACACCTGCAGCGCTAGGCCCTTGAGTGGTCTAGGGTGGGCACTCCAACCCACCTTATAACCGTCATATGCAAGTGATCATTCAGGGCCGAATAGAATGCTAAGCGAGTTCGGCTGTAGGGGAGCATTCAAAGTGGAGACTTCGTTCTCCGAGAATACCCAAGACTCAACGTGAACGAATGTAGAATGTCAGTTCAAGCAGGAAGCCTGTTCAAAAAGAAAGGTTTTTGAGAAGATTGAGCGCCTTTCAAGGCTTCCTGAAAAAGTTTCTAGACATGGGCAGTCGGATGGGTTTGATTGGGTATGGGAGGATGTGGTCCAGCACGCATCATGTCCGATGCCAGCCCAAGGCATGAACCTCGAACCCGAAAGATAAATCAACCTCGATTCAGTTTGTATTTTATCGTCGTCATTTTCACGGCAGTCCAAACTGCAAAGATCTGAGAAATGATATAAGTTACTTCGGCTTGACCCG